ACGCAAATGTATGACGTCACCATTTCAACCATCAATGAACGCATGGAACTAAAACAAAGCTTAATATAAAGGAAAAGCTGGAGAGGTGACGGAATTACCTACGATGTCGGAATATACCGCGTTTACCCTATTTAGCCAGTATTTCTTGCATCAGAGATACTTTCAAGTATTTCAATGCTAACAGCATCAAAATCCACGCAGAGCATGATGCAGAAACGTAAACTTTTAATAGGTTTTACAATGAAATTTACGCTCCTAGTCCAAAGAACTGAGACCGATTTCAAATAAAAATGACTAAATTGAATCCATCGCGCTTTCTGGCACCTTCTCTCACAGCTGATTGCAGTTGCAGTGCATTTTTTTAGCTTAAGTTGCCAATACATATTTAATGTAGTTTTGTACCAATGTACCGTTGGTACAAAACTTACAAAACAACATTGAATTATTGATCGCTAATTTCTTGCATTAGGTTAATTTTTATGATTCAAATTAATCATAGAAGTTGTATCTCCATGATTCCATGCTGAATTAATATTAAGAATAGAAGGTTCACATACAGGCTACAGTGATACAGATGCTAGCGCTAGCAGCGGCAATAAAATGAACTACTTTATTCGTTAGTATATTTACTATAATAATAACAATATATTATTCTGCTTAGGCACAGTCTCTCAAAATGTTCCAGCATATTTTCCATTACTAATTATTTACATTTATTTGTTTGTGGTGCAGCAAAATATTGCATTTTTTTATGTCACAGTCGATGTACCACGTGTTCTTGTGTTGTCTGACTCCACCGCAGGGGTGCCAAGCTAGCCGTAAATAAACAAATGAAAAATGACCAACGAATGGCACTTCTGGTAGCTTCGATCGGTACAAAACTAATAAAAGTATTTAGAATTATTGATTGATAATTTCTTGCATTGAGTAAATCATTATGATTTAATTTCATCCAAGAAGTAGGTATCTCCCTATTTCCATGTTCTTCCATTCTTTATTTTCTTCCTTTATTTTTTTTTTTCATCCACACTTCTTCTGTCTCTTTAATTTTTTTTTTCATCAACACAACTAATCGTATTCGTAGTAAAATTATACTTCGTTATAAATATTCAATTTTAAACGTTTTTTTAGAATTTTTAACTTTGAATTTAACTTTAAATAAAAAGTTATCTTTTTTTTTCTTTATCTAAAATTCTGGTCACGTGATTCCTGTAATGTTGGAACACACTTACATGGCCTAGGCAATACGCATGGCGCATGATGTCGGCCATGGCCATGGCTTTAGAAATGCCCTGTGGCGTAATTATAAATTTTTAATATTTTAATGTAGAAATAGAAAGATAATAATAGAATAGAAAGCTATTATTTTTATTAGAATAGAAAGCTTTTATTATTAATAGAAAGCGTGTTGGCGAGTGGCAGGAATTCTTCCCTGTGACCCTGATGAACCTCAACTCCTCAAGTATCATGTCCAGGTCCCGGCCTTCATACCCCCTGTTGAAGAGAACAAATTAATGTAAGTGCATTTAACATACTGGGAAAATGTTGCTTAAGGATTGAGAAGCGCAAGGCTTCAAATAAGGTCATTTTTATTTTATTTCTCTATCAGGCTCCTGATGCTCTTCACAAATTAGGGTTGACTTTAGACCAGTCGTAAATGAGACTTTTGTTATTTGAAGCTAAACTAATTATGTATTAGGAAAGGGTGGAGAGGACTAATAAGAACTAATGTTTAAAAATTACTTGCAGATGATCTGCGGGACGAGGTGCCCCGGTCGCCGTTGGGGCAAGCATCATGGTCGCCACACCACCATACCCCTGTCGGGTCGGTGGTACCCGTACCTCTGCAACCTTCCTACCCCTCCCCCCCCCCGCTCAGCCGGACCGGGCAATGCTTCTGCAATCCGATAAGTACTCAATAAAATTCTCTGCCACCATGCTTGGCCATGAGAAGCCAATTACAAGCTGCAAACTTATCTACAAAGTCCAGTGTGTTACCGTCAACCGGGGCTACTCGGGATTGGCGGGGCTACTTGGGACAGTCCTCCGACACGGCGTAAAACTGTTATAGTAGCAAAACTAATTGGAATATTGCAAAACTAAATATAGTGGCATAAACATCAACGTTTTTCCTATCTATGTAGTATAAAGGAAGTTGAAAAATACTACATTTAGTAGCTATGAAAAATTCCTGAAAAAAATTGTGAAAAATGCTATTTTGAAAAGTTACTTCTGCTAAGTTCTGTAGCAAAAAAATATTTGCCGTATTAAAAAATTTTACTTACATAAAAGATGCACCCAGGTGTCGGCTTGAAAACGTAATTGACAGAATTGTCCTATCTCATTCCAAAAAAATGGCAGCCATTTCCGCACGGCGGGGCTACTCGGGACACCCCCCGGGGCTATTTGGGACACCCCCAAAAACACATTTACAGTAGAACTTCAGTTAGCAAAGGCTCCAGTTAAGAAAAAAATTGATAAAAAACAAAGAATATTTATTACATTTACCTCGCTCAGCAAAAAAATTTCACTTATTGAAAAATTAGTGCATCATCGGTCATCAAAAAATTGTCCATGGAATGTCATATATAGAATTGTGCACCAGGCATCATAGAATGAAAAGTAATTGACCTAAACTATGATTTATTTCTCCAAAACACATGCTGGTTGTCACTAAAACATTCCTTTCTGTTTCAGGTATGTTTTTCATGATCTTTTTTTCATAGTAAATTCACTTAACGTAATTAAAATGGTGTGAAATTACAAGCCGTCCTGTAAGCTTACAGATACAGAAAAAATGCTCTAAGGCTGCTGATATGAAGCTTGCAGTGGACAAGGTTGTTGTAAACTTGTAAATGCTCAATGGCATGTTCACGGATACGGTAATATTGCATCAATATTAATACGATAATGTCACATCAATAATACGGTAATTAATGTACGGTATATGGTAATATCATATCGATAAAGGAAAAACAAGTAAAAATTACAGAAAACGTCATTTATTCTACCTACCTCTACATCATCTACAATGAAAGAGGAGGACTTCAGAGTACTGTTAGTAATGGATGAGTACACTCTGCATGCTTCAAATGTTTTAAAATGAAGTTTTATTCCAAGTGTCCCGAGTAGCCCTGTTTGACGGGGCTACTCGGGACACTCTTTTTTTGCTTCTTGCACCTTACGAATAGCATATGGAATTTTTTTGAAGATGCCATTCGATAGTCCTCGCAAAGAGCTATAAAATGAGCCTAAATTTGTTTATGAAATGTTTCATGGTAAGAAGTTATGGATAAAAAACGTTCAAAAGTGTCCCGAGTAGCCACGGTTGACGGTACCTCAACTCCCTTAATTTTACTCTAAAAACAGTCAAACAGCAACTGCAACACTAACATTTGTCTTCACTTACGTGGCAACTGAACATGAACAAGTGGTAATGCAGTCTGACCATTCTGATATGGCCTCAACTACACGATCTTCAAGGAGGAAACAATTTGAGTTGACTTGTTATTACAAACTTCTGCACGTTATTTTGGCAGGAGGCAGGACGCAGGAGCATTGAAGTATACATATATACTGCGGATTGCGGAAGTTGAAAATTTTATGAAACGACATGTTTGCAACTTGCAAGTGCAAACCATTATTTTTTTCAATCAAACAAAAATTTATGACGTTAGATCTGCGAGATTTCATACCTACTGAAATTATATGATATTAGAACTGCAATATTTCAGAATAAAATAGGACTTTTCTAGCCCTGTCCAGAGTGATTGGTTATGGGATCATAATGTCTTCCTATCCAGACTGATTGCTTATGCAATGGCCTTTCCAATATGCTATGTGATTTGGGTCGTTCAAAACTTCTCCATAATTACAGTGTGTCACTGTAACAGTAACACACAGTGTTAATAAAATTTAAATTTCTACCTTCCCTAAATTTTGCAGCTTACTTTCTCTTCTTTTGATCAATTTATTTGATTTTGTGTTATTGCACTCAGGCAATTTTCTCAGTGTCTGTATTGCATTTGGAATGAATTAGGACCAATGCATTGCAAAGTAACTAGTTCTAATTCTTGGTTTAAATTATTTATTATGAAAAATTTTAACCTGACCTCATGAACAAAAGTTCCACAAGATGCTTTCATAAAGCCCTTTTGTCTACAAATAGTCAAATAGTTGAACTTGTGTCTAAAAAATAACATACATACGGTATTATATATATTAGTGTAGTTAGGCAGAAGCTCTTCATTTATGCAGGTTTGGTTGAAGACCAGAGCGTACTTTTTATTTACGATTTTCTTATTGTTCTTTTCGATAAGCCGAACGAAATTTCTAGCTGGAGCTTGGAGATCAAAAAGTAGATTACCGAATGACATTTTATTGCAGTGCGACGTTTCTCCAAGCTCCAGCTAGAAATTTCGTTCGGCTTATCGAAAAGAACAATATGAAAATCGTAAATAAAAAGTACGCTCTGGTCTTCAACCAAACCTGCATATTATATATATATACCTGCCCTGTACTGAAGTTTTTTTTAAATGTCTCCTTCCAGGCTATATTGAGAAATTTGTTTCTATAAATAAATTCAGATTTATTTATATATTTATTTTCTACAGATTTGAATCTTCTTGGAGGGAACAGATGAAATTATGGCCTTGTATTTTTTCAATCAGTTGAAACCTTCTATTTATGTTGTCCCAAGCCGAATTAATAAAGTAAGCAATGAAATTAAACTTGCACAAATAAAAAAACCTTGGTTGTTCCTTAAAGTTTTCAATGATGAAAGCTATGGATCACGTCTGCCTGAACATTACAAAAAGTTCTACTGGAGCTGGAAGCATGGCCCCAAGCAACCAGTTCATTACGACCCTCCTACTGAAACATTCAGACTGAGTCCTAATCAGGAGAGAGTGTGAGTACTTTCCTGTCTATAAGAACTTTCCAGTCTATAAGAACTTTCCAGTCTCTAAGAACATCTTAGTCTATAAGAACTTTTCAGTCTATAAGAACTATCAGTCTACATGAACTTTTCAGTCTATTAGAACTTTTTGGTCTAAAAGAACTTTCCAGTCAATAAGAACGTTTTGGTCTTTAAGAACTTTTCCATGTTACTGATGGATGATGCAATTTGCAGACACTTATTGTAGTTATGTGGGTATTTCCCTGCTGCATAATGTATTGTAGCAGCTGGTCTGTGTTTAGTTTGAGTGTTTTTTTGTTTTAATGTTGACACTCCTCATACTTATCCTTCATGTGTTATTGATGCAGCCACTTCTAATCTGTAATTCTTGCAGTTAATCCCTTTAGGTGCTTATTTTTCCACTTCTGAACCTGCTGATGCTGCAGCCTAAGCACAAAAACGAAATTTAATTTCTAAATTTTCATTTAAATTTAGTCTAAATTTAATCTAATTTAATCTTACATAAAAAATTTTACTAAAAAATTTTGTGCATAAATGATAAACAAATTTATTTATTGAGGTCAACCTTCCACAATTTCTGTTTCATGTTATTGGATCATTGACTTTATTTATGTTCAGGTCACTAGTGGAGGACCATGGAGTTCAGGTTGTGTATCCAGAAAATTGTGATGCTGGCCTATGGGGAGGTGAAGGAGTCATTAAAGGATACTACCACATTGGCAAGTGAGTTCAAGCTTCATAAATCTTCCTTATTATTCATTTCTTCCAATATTTGACTGCTCACTTTTTATAATTTGTGTAAGAGCAAAATGTTTTGGCTTCCAACTAATCATAAGTTGTAGTAATCATCACTTCATGTAGGAAAAAATAGTCCCATTCTAAAGAATATTCAAACAATTTGAACCAAATCTCCCTGCTTTATCTCTTGAGGTAAACCAACTAAGATCTCTTCCTGGTCTTTAAGTGATGATATTCTGTTTTGATTTGTTCATGTTTTTTGTATGTATCATACTGGCAGACAAAGCATTTTATTGAACATCAAACTGTAGCTTATGCTACAACAGGACCTGTCTGCTTATAAGCCTAGCTTGCCAGCTGCTGGTCTGAATCTGACAAATGGTGAACAGTGTGACAGGATGGTAAAGACTGATTTTGATTAGAAACGATCTACATTGTATGAAGGATATGTGAAAATGAAGCTTTTGAGTGGGAAAATGCCACTATATATACAACGCTGTTGCATATTGCTACTACCAATGGTAACCAAGAAGCTTGGGCAGTTATGAGGAGCTTTTATGTTCCTGTCCATGCTGTGATGACAAACTTTGTGAGAATCCATGCTCTTTAATACATGCCAGGGCTGGCAATGATTAAATCAAAATGATTAAATCATGTGATTAAATCACTTGATTTTTTTATAATAAAATCATGATTTTTTTTATTTTTTTTATTTTTTTTTTTTTTATTTTTTTGATTTTTTCATATATTTAAATATATTGAGTGGCAGTCTTTAATTTATATTGAGGTATTGTTATTCATGGTTTAGTATAAATGTACTATAAATGACAAATTGATATATAAACTTGTTGCCTTTAGTGTGTATTAGGTTCCAATAAATTGAATGTTTTTGGTACAGAGGCATCAAGTGTGCAATACATTGTACGTAGCTAGCAGCTTAGCTAATTCTTATAAGGCTATAAGTACTAGTCTTTAACTATTTGACTATTTGTTATATATTGATTACAATATACAATTTAAATGTGTTAGCTAGCTTATACAGGGTGGGGCAGTCTGTGCACTGTGCTATCAGCTACAGTCACTACTAGTCGGTGTGTATAGAGGGTAGAGTCTGGTAGATTTTTAGGACATAAAACTAGTGGATCTATTGATAGTGCTGTGCACTGTGCTATCAGCTACCTATCTGTTATGTGACTCTTCAATGTTTAGATCTGCATTCCTGAAGTGTTTTTGTATATTGAAGCCAGTTAAATGGTTAATATTTAGCTTATTACCTTGCTCCATACAAACTTTACAAAGCTAATGAATAGACTTACCAATAATTGTTTACCCAAAAATCCCTAAGTGATAAACACAACCTTGGCCTGTTGGCCATTATTGAAGGCAATAAGTGCCCTTTTTAGCCATCCATTATGATCAATATACTGTTATTGTTAGTAGGCTAATTGCAACATAAAAAATAACACATCAAAAAGACAAAAAAGTTGAAAAAATCAAAAAATCAAATAAATCAAAAAAATCATGAAAAAATAAAAAAAATCATTGATTTTCGATTTTTTTGATTTAAAAAAAAATAAAAAAAATCGCCAACCCTGATACATGCACCATGACCCACCTACAATGTTTTGGTCTGATGGCTTCTTCTTTGGTGGTAGACATTATCTTGCACGATGTCTCAGGATGAAGGAAAAGTGCTCCACAAGTTCCTTTGGCATTGAATGCAGAAATCTTGTCACTGTACCTAGCACATCACATTAATGCCCTAACCTTAATCCCCATTATGGCTTTGCCTGTTTTCCTCTACTTCCAGCAGCCAACTTCCAGCAGCCATAGTCTGAGTAGATCCCTCTCTCATATCCATCCTAGTACCACCAACAACAACAAGCCTAGCAAAATCTGCTTCCTAGTTTTTGTTATATCCTAGGCTCTGAGCTAACAATTTTAACTATAAGCAGCATGGCTGACCAAAAATATATTTTTTAAGCTAATCTGCTGTGAACTTTTTGTTTTCATTTATGACATAAGATAATGTTTTCTTATATTATATTACTTGTACTCCTTTCAAATTCAATTGTTGAAATTATAACAATTTTTAAATTAAGAATAAAATTAGGATCTGTTTGATGACCTGTTTATCAATTGATCATATCACCATATGCATTGATCAGCTTGGTATCCAAGCTTTATTAAATTATTTATTTTAATTACAAGAAATACAATGCTTAACTTTACTATTTTGAGTGCATGGTGGTCATTGATGAGCAAGGTGTTGCCTTTCTGTGTGGCCAGTGTTATATACTTCTATACTTAAATTTGACTTCTACCTGAATTTGCAAATGTTTACTTTCTGAGTTTTATTCAGATCTGTATTCCATTTTCATAATTGATACTCTCTTGAAATTTTATGTATTTAGATGTGTTTATGGCAAACTATTTTGAACATGATACAGCTTCATTCAATTTATGCTGTTAAAAGCATTGCACATTATGTTAAGTTTATTAAATATACAGTTGTTGACAATCACGATATTGTTACCAGGTACAAAGGTGAGAACGCCAAGTACTGGTGGCCATGCGTCAAGAGGTCCGTTGTTTACTCCGAGATCCTGGACAAATACATGGAGCTCATGGTGACCGAGCGAGCCTTGACTCTCATAGACCAGCACTATGGCCTTGACTTCTATCTATTGAAGGTAATTCTCAACACGCAAGGGACTGGAATATTCATGAAGTGAAAAGCTATCCTGTCAATTTTTATAAATGTGTTGTGTACCTTATATACGGTATGAAAAATGCTACTATTTACTAGGACCAATTCCACTGTTGCTCTCGACTGACATGAATATAGATATTATTGGAATTTGATGTTTATTTTTTTCTGTTACTTGCCGTACTCACTTTGAAGACCAAAACCCCTAAATTTTTATTTCATTTTCTTTTTTGCTTGGAATATTGGATAGTGAAAACTTGTTTAAAATTTCGGGAACTGGCTAAAAATCAGTTACAGGCTCACACCCACACCCTGTTCATTATTGCCGAGAGAAACGTCTGTGTATTTTTCAATGATCACACGGTCGATCTGTATTTTTAATTTCTTTTGTTGTTACCATTGTTTATTAGCATCAAAGTAAAAATATCTTGGCTAATTTGCGAGGAACAAATTTTGTACATGCTGAATTTCCTAGGATTTGAATAAAAACCAATGATTTCTACCATACAGTGTTAGTTTTCTTGAAAAATTGCCTGTTAAATGTCAGATTTATGACTTCGTGTTTGTTGAACTTATTTAATTAATGCCATAAATCTGATAACTCCTCTCTTTGTTGTAGTTGTATTTTAATGAAGTTCCAAGGCCTGGAGTTTACAAGACCTATCTTAGTTGGAACTGATTTGTCAGCTTCCTCATATTTTTGTACTCACGACTGATTGAATGATGCTTCTAGAAATTAACATTACAACAATAAGTGACTAGTAATGCTGTTATGTTGAAAACGGACTGCACAACAAGTATGCAGACATCAACTCTGTTTTGATGCTGATATTCTTGCTGCAGAACGCGTATGCAGACATCAACTCTGTGTTGGGCTTCAAACTGAAGCGCGAGATGCTGCTGGCCCTGGCCAACCAGACGCTCTACCCTGACCAGCCTCACGTCCGCAGGGAGATAACAACGAAATACCAACAATTTATGATGCCCGTAAGTGGTGTTTCTCTAAATTTCAACTGTTCATAATTACTTATATCTTTAGTTTGCTGAAATACCAAGTTCACCAAGAATGTAAATATCAGAGAAAATTCTATGTTAATTTACTACTTATTATTAAAATGAAAACTTTTAGATCAGCATCATCCTAAGTTCAAAAGTGCATATATCCTATTGTATTCATCGCATTAAGAAAATACCAGTTGAATTAATTGAGATGGATGATCTGTTCTGAGTAAGACTGGAAAGAATGTAATAGGCGGGAATTAAGTTCTAGGAATTAGTTAATACGATTGTTTGTTGGTTCCAACGTTAACATGGTTATATATTTTTTGAAGTTTGTTTAATCAAAGATTCATGAAAATTCAATTCCTAAGAATTTGCTGAAATGTAGTCAAATTTTGTAACTACTTTGCAATTTATTTGTTGAATTGACGACCATGAGAAGCAAGCCTGTGACAATTGTGAGTTTAACTGAAAAACGCTCCTGATAGCTAATATCAAATAAACTCGAGCAAGTGGTCCAATTAGCGAACTTGATTAGTACAAATGTTTAACTGTTTTCCGTCTAACTTTTCGAACCTCCGATTGTACTTTCCCTTTTTTAACGTTTCGCATTGTGCGTCACAACTTCTTTAGAGCGCGATCCTTCCCTCTTGCATTGTACTGCACAATTTATTTAAGAGAACCCTCTCCCCTTTTGCATTGTCTGATGCAATTTCTATGCTGTAACGTCATACCCTCTTGCATTGTGCTGTACGATTTATTTGAAATAACCCCCTCCCTTCTTGCATTGTACGTGACAATTGTTCCAGCCAGAGGAGGTGGAGTGGATCGGCCTGACGCTCGATGAAGCCAAGATGAAGCAGAAGAAGCTTGAAGAGCTCGTCCAACCAGAGCCGCTCAAGTACGAGTTCCGGTCCCAGTTACTGGAATACCTTGAAGAAAACCCGCCAAGTGATGACACTAGGAAAACTGGAAACAGCGATGTATCTGAGAATGAAGAGGCGTAAGTCCCATTCACTCTTTAAAATAAGCATCAAATGTGTACTAATTGAACCTTAAGGGTCGTCAAATACCTAAGTTGCTAGTCAATGAATCACGGCAGAATAATGAAGGTTTGGGTTGGTCAAATTCATGTTAACTACCATTTGTGAAAATATAATCTCTTTCCAGAAAACTCGATGGTCATGAAACCATCCATTTTATTCATTTTTTGGGGGGTTTTGTGAATTTACGACAGATATTAATCCCAGCGGTGTTTGCATTTTAGCCATGCAATTTCCTGCCTGCCAGTAGTCGTCGAATACATGACAGTTATCAACGGTATAATCAGAGTTCAGTGACCAGTGTAATTCAAATTCTCTTGATCACTTAATTTGATTCGTTAACAATCAGTGTCCGCTTTAGTATTACTGCTAATACGACTATAGCACACGCGTGTCCGACTTCCACTTGAGAATTTTTAAACTCTGGCGATACCGTCCTTTTTTCTAAATTTTGATTGACTTGTCTCTCGTTTCAGCTCGTCTTCGGGGCAATCGTGGCTGCAGAAGTTCAATCCATTCGGCAAAAAACCGTCTACTTGATATCAAACTTTATTTTACAACCAATCACATCTGTACAGCCATAAAGCTGAGATTTAACTCAAACATTTTTAATGAAAATCCTCTCAATTTGTTGTTTTTTATACCTCCAGAACTTGCATGTGTCGGTGTGATGTTTACTCTACTGTTCGGTGATAAGTAAAACGCCAACTTACCAGTTATTGCGAAGTAATAAAATTAATTTAATTTAAATTCATTACAACCTAACTAACAGTCTCAAGTGTGATACAAAATGTGACTATCGGGATTTCTAGTCCACTATGATTTATGTAATGCTATTCACACAACGAAACAAGAAGAAATATTTGCACTGGCCATGAAAAAACATTAAAAAAATTATTAATTACGAGTTATGTAGGAACAACTTACCAGAAATCAACCGACCCCAAATATTAGCACTCGGATACGTTTTTGAAAAAAGCATCTTCGGCGCGATATACGTAGCACTTTTTCTGAATCCATAGCTAACTTTCTTCTAAAACTGCTACTAATACTCGTGCTTCATTGAGAAATACGGGAGCGCAGCCGTGGGTAACAAAATTGACTCGTAAACAGGCCCTGGGCCCAACGCCAACCATCAGCATGCATCATGCAATATCTACACATAGCCTCAGAACAATGAGCTGTGGGTAACTCTGGCTAACAGTAAATCCTCTTTGCACAACACAGCCACTGCTTCACAGCGCCGGAGCACAAAAGGCCATACCGCAACAGGCGGCGCAGGTTAGGTTACGTTAGGAGTAGCTGTTGCGGTAGGGCCTGTTGCGCTCCGGCCTGTATGCACTCCGGCGTTCCGGCCTGTATGCGCTACGGCCTGTGACTGAACTGCGCTGTTGTGGTGGGCGCTTTGTGTCAAAAGCCGTGAAGATGCCCGGCTGCATTACGCTCGGGAAGGTATATGAATAGCACTGTGGACTTGGGCTATGCTGACCTCTAGCTATCCACCCAGAAATACTCGTATATTCTCAATTTCCAAAAACACAAAATAATGGAAATTTCGAATCGGCTTGTTGGACAAAAATTTTTTACCGCTATTATAATGACCACGGATTAAAAAATTGAAAACGGTTCATTAGAAGTTATCAGGATTTCTGTTAGCGTACAATATCTCATTGAAATGTATGGTTTTTAAAGATGGCGTGGTTGAGGATCGTATCTGTTCAAGAGGGAAAAAAAATTTTCACTTCAAGTGGTGAAACTCGCATGAGTGCGACCCTATAAAAATAGAGACGTTGGAGGACATTCAACAAAGCCTGCGGATTGTATTGATAATCATTTAAATACTAAAGGATTCTCGTCACTAAAATATTTCAATTGTCACATTCGATGATTGAACTTTCGTCTCATTCGCGTCCGAGTGGCCTACGTCAAGTGCTAGTCAATGAAACTAGCGTTGCTCTATTATGATCATATTCAAATTGCCCCACCCTATTAAATGCAAATATCAAGCGATAAGTGGGACATAAAACAATAAATAATTCAACAGCGTTGAAATAATTAGATCAGATTCAATGAAATTCATGATCCAATTAGAGCTTTCAGAACAATAATTTTTGATGGTAAGTAGCGTTTATTAGCCTATTAGGTACCGGTCCAATATTACGCAAACCCTGCTGGCAGCATGAGGCTGCTATGCATGAACTGATGCTCTCAACAGTATCACTATTAATTAAAGTACAAGATTATGTGCAGCTTATCAGTCTCAATGATCAGAATTTAAATTAATTTCGATCTAACTAACCGAGTCTCAAGTGTGGTACAGAACCTGACTATAAGGGGAGCCAGAGAGAGAGCTATAACGTAACACGCGTCACTGTTTCACGGTTAACGTGCATCACAAGAACCGGTGATGGCCCGCGTTTGCATGAAGAAGTAACCTTGTATCGCGCCTCTCTTATTCACGCCACAACAGACCTCGAGAGCAGCGGCGGTTCTGCGCGTCAGTCAGGCGGTGCGTCGTGAGCGTGTAGGTTACTCATACGTCGCATCCTTCTTCCGTAGCCCGGCGCTCGTAGTAACTCGATCTCGTCAGACACGGTAAGGTATTTTTGGCACTGTGTTTCTGCTGCTTAAATTCGCGAGTAAATTTTTCAACAAATAAGGGTTGGAGTCCTATTATCGAATTAAGACTATGCAATAAGCGAAATGATAATCGAGTCATGTGAATTTAAATAATTTAGGCTTCTGACCAGATCAGTTTAAGAACGAGCAACGCTGAAAAAATGCAAGTAAATAGCACTGAAAAGTAGATTGGCTAGATGAAACATGAAAATTAATGTCTATTTTAATCAGGAAACGACAAAAAGGTCTATTCAACAAAACAAATTAGAATTTTTTTCCGTCGAAGATTTATTGGAGCCACTGAAGACTTGTCCAATGTGTCCTCACGGCGAATGATCACCGCGAGGCTTCCGGAAAATATATCACTATGAACCAACATTTTTAGATCTTTGATTTTTACTTGCTCATAAGTGAAAATATTCTTTATGCGAAATACCATCAGAACAATAATTACGCTTTTCTGTCGTACATGAAATTTGTTTCATCGTCGCACCGTGTGCTCGAGTTCGACTGAAAAAAAAGTCAGTAGCACGCAGCATCACGGGTATTTACAATAACACTGAAAAAAATTAAACATAAGGTTAATTAATGAACTAGTAATGATCGTCAATTGAACCATATTCTATTTCCACAATAGACCATTGCAAGCAACCCATAATACCTGGTAGTGATGCAAGTAGCCATCAAGTTTATAGCCAAGTTCCGATGCTAACGAAGATGAAAGCTGGCTTGTGAAGTTGGGCAAAGAGTTTCATTAATGCTTCTGAAGTACTTTAACTTCTTCATTATTGAAGTGGAAATTATTCTAGATAAATCGCGAATGAATGAACAGCAAAAAATGTGGTCAACTCAAATAACAATAATAAAATGATTATACAATGTTGTGCATGATGATGGACTTGCAACGAAACCTGCCGTTAATTTAAATCTTAAAAAATATATGAAGTGAAGGATCTGAAGCGGTGAAACACACAACTGAATGATATTGATATAACTAAAATTTTACCCTCTCGATCACATATCGATGCAACCGGAAACACTCATAAATAACATCCGTTCCAAACAATTATATTTAAACTCAACCGCCATGCTTAGAATTTCCTGGAATTACATTAAAATTTGTTCACACTTCAATGCATTCTGCTAAAAGGGTTCATGAATAATTATTTTCTTCACATATTAGTCTTATGACACATAATCTAGAATTTTCGTTGTCTTTGCATTACTGGACCAAAAAATCCACGAGAGTGACGTACGCGGCTGATTTGTTTTGGGGCCGTTAATGAAGTAATGTGGCAGAATGACCGCGTTAATGATAGAATGCCCGAGTCATAATGATTTGGTACAGACGAAGAGCTGCATGCATGATATCAATTAGGAGCTAAAATCTAGTGCATGGCGTCACTCATAAAAAAGTAGGTTCGACTCACGTTAACAATGCTCCCATAAGGGAGACAGTCGTTGACTTCAGACTTATTTAGCCATACGTTCAATTAATTATCTGCCTGCAAGCGGCCGTATACATGGGCCATGGCAAGTAAATATAGAGCAGTGTATCTTCCTAAATTAGCTCGTTGCAGAAAATAGTATTTCCATGCATCTTCACAACGTGAGTTGTGGCTCTTTTGCTTTTTACGTCATGCACATGCATTATGCCATTGCGCATCACAATAATCGCTAATCATATATCCTGAATTTGCTTCTATAATTTCATTTAATATTCGATATAAATCGTCTTTTTATCGAATTTGATTACGTTTATCGCATTGTAAACGGATAATTAAATCAATTCAAATTCTGTTTAGCTAAAATGTTCAGTATCAAACATATATCACGTTTATCGAGCATTACCAAGCGATCATCGAATTTTTTATTAGAGTTTTGTGCAAGTAAAATCGCTGTCACCAGACACAAGATCCTATCAGAGGTGAAATATTGCTCCTCGCGCGCACGCGGTATAACAGCCCGCGTCGCCGCCGCATGTTTGTCGCGTGTGATGCGCCGCGGCAGACAAACGTGTGCCGCGCACGGACGTTTCGCTGCATAGAAAAGACGGCGAGAGCTCGCCTGCATATCGCATAGTTAGATTGCGTGGCGATTAGCTATTGCAGAGCGGCACGCCAATGATCACGAATGTGAAGAAATATCATGCCTGAAGTAGAAGTATTTCACAAGAAAGTGTTCAAAACATTGATAAATTTTATGAACTTGGCCTAGTTTGTCGTGATATTGTCTAAGTAATTTTAAAGTGCACTGCAATTACAAGTAATGCGTCACTGATATATTTTACCGGGCTATGAGCAAGTCGACTTACTTGTTGAAGCAGGCTTATAAAATTTGTCAAGGTTGGTATGAAAATTGAATTATTATTATTATCTATTGTTTACTTTTTACTATTATTATTACGTACCTATTTAAAATACTCTTAATAATTTGTGATTATTCGATGCTATCTAAATGAAAATTGGTGGCATTCCTTAAGATACTTAATGCGAAATAAACCGATATTTCAAAAAGAAATATTGTTAATTTGCAATTTTTGCTCCTCTGTTGCAAACTATATTTCCCACAAGTCGTCTATTTCGATTAGAATAGATGGATGGATTGTTGATTCGTTAAATTTCTTTCTATATTCTCTAACGAAAGATGATAAGTACATGCATTTTTTTAAAATATACAACATAATTTTGAAAAGGAAGCGTGAAAAACTGAATGAAACCTTTAATTAACTTGCAGGCATTCCATTAAGATGCAAACTCTGTTGACGTGTATTTTTGGCGGTCCTGCCGAAATGAATACATAACGAAAAAAACGTTTTTACTAACATTCTTTTCGGAAATTCACTCAAAAATTTTAATCTATAGGCCGCTAAATTCTAATATCGCGTTTATAATAATTTCCGCCTCTGTGGCCAAAATGTCACGTCATTAATTTTCCTGGAAGAGAATCAAAGAGGCTTCTGATCAAAGAAATTAGGGGGCTTCGTCGTGATGTCACAGTCTTCAATGACGATGGTAGGTTCGTGTCGTAGTACTATTCAATGATGATGGTAGGTTCGTGTCGTGGTCTTCAATGACGATGGTAGGTTCGTGTCGTAGTCTTCAATGATGATGGTAGGTTCGTGTCGTAGTCTTCACAGACAATAAGGATGAATGTCAGCATCGGAGCTGCAGGTGCCACTCTGTATCTGCAGCTTGAAAGTATCGGGAAATTTTTCGCCATGTAACATATTATTACTCATCCCTTCTTAATTTTTTATCTTCCGCAAGCGTGATCAAATTTCAGTTTCACATCAATGGAATTTTTGACTTTATTTGCGACATGGTGAAAGTGAATACGGGTCATTCATTTAATGTTCATGAATTTAACAAAACCGATGGCTGCTAATGATAAAGGAATTTTCAATATTTCTTCATGCATTGGTAAGCCAGTCCCACACGACTACCAATTATATGAAAAATTGCCATTAATATTTGATGGCCGTAAAGCTGTACTCGATGGTTAATTCTACTCGTATTTTAAGATCTGCTTTTACATGTTATCATTTCGTTACGATTTTTCAACGGCAATAAGAATTTGAATTGAATTTCAACCCAACTCTTCAGATGTGATTGTTTTCACAACGCAATGAATAGTGATTTTGTGGTGCACAAAAGGGCTACAAATTTTGATCATTTTATAACAACACTTCTCTTTTACTGCACTTCTTGTCTGCCTGTCTGCTACAAATCTTATAATCGAAATTTAATACACTTCTACTTATCCTATCGATCCGAAATTTTGCACACTTGCGTAAAGTTGGAGACAATGCATGGATCAAATGACAAAATAAGTGATTAAAAAATTTTCAAATCTCATAACTGATGTTTGACACACTTTTACCTGTCCAATTGATCTGAAATTTTGCACACTTGTGTGAAGTCGGAGGCAATGCATGAATCAATTGACAGAATGAATAATTAAAAAAAATTTATGAATTAAAAAAAGTGAAAAATTATTATTTTTTAATATTCGAAAATAAAATGCGAAATTCATTGTACATCTGTAACATTGGAGAAACTGGATTATTTAGAAGTGTTGTCTTTAAAAAGTAATTTTTAAATGTATATTTTGATAACGAATTTTATTCCTTCCTTCATTAGGGCGTCACCATAATATTTTTCTCCTCGTTCAATATTAGCTAGGCTTTCTAGGAACATATTTCTTTCACATTTAAAATTGTGTTTTTAATTAACCTGATTTAAGCGAACGCAACGGTTACAAGACGTACAGCTTCATCATTGCTGTTCTCTGTGACGCCAAAGGATAAAATGTCACTAGAATGTCCGTATTGCTCAAGAGTTGAAGCTTTTACTCTCATAACTTCACATCATTTAGACCAAACAGGCGTGTTGCAGGGATACCGCTACCTCGTTCACTGGACCAAATCTAGTTTATCGTAGGCATCATCTTAAGGTTCACATCGTAATGTTTATGCCGGACTGAGAACACGAGCGATGATGTCGCTGGAGCGTGACAACTGCCAACACAACTCATCGCAATGCTCTAGCATAGGCGTAGCGTCGGCAGGAAGAGAGATTGCATAAGGAAGTCGGTCGTCAGCAACGCTCTCATTATGCAATGGTTTCTTAAATCGCAGCAGCTCGACCTAAGCAAATTTCCTGATGTGAAAGCTCAATAAAAAAATAACTAGTAAACATTGTCTACAATATTAATCTTATTTAATTTTATTGAAGACATCTAAAATTCTGTATCATTAAGTTATAAAGATGACATCGGACAAATGACAAAGGCATTGTCAGCATTGTCAATGCCTTTAGTTAGTCGACTTTTGAAGTTCCGTTCAACTCCCTGAAGCATATTGACCGGTGTGTTAGCGATGGCTTGGCGTATGTTGTTCTTAAAATGAAGTAGGGTCCTTGCACAGTCATTGCAAACAATTGATTAAGGATAACTTGTCCTAAATGTGTTCACCC